AGCCGCGGGTTCCTCTCTCGGACCGACCTGTCTGTCCCTCTTTCTGGTCCCTCTTCCTCTTCGTTCGCCTCTCTCATATGGACCTCTTCCTTCCGCCCACGGACTGAGCCACGAGCACACCGACGGATCCGCAAAGAGAGAAGGTGGAGCAGTGGACGCGGGATCTGCGCTCTCGAGAAAGCTTCTGGCTTCTTCGTTTTGCTCTTTTCGCGATCTTTTCTTCTATACGACGACAATTGCGATAGCAATAGCACCGTTTTATCGTGCCGGTTAAACCGAGATATCGACGCGATGGATAAATATGCGAAGTAGCAGAGGCCGATCGAGGTTTAATTGTAATTGCGGTGTAGAGCGCGGAACTTTGAAATACTTTGAATACATGTAGGGGACTTTGATAGACAGTTGGTAGAGAACGTTAAGCAAAAAGGGGGGTAAATAATGGTGTAGCTCATCGGTAATCAAACAAACTAGTAGAAGAAAGAACGATAGGTACATATATTTAGTTTATCGTGTTTGCTGTACAATCGGACGAGTTCCATACTTCGACACTTTCTTAGTCGATTGATGAAAGTATACAAAGGTTTAGAATTATTATTGCGCGTTTTCTCTTCGTCCATTGAGTTTCGTACGGTATCCATTCGTTAAAACGTCAGCCTGTTCCGCGGCGGTGCGTTAATATTGTCATTTAAAAAGCGCTACGGGAGCCGCATTAATTAATCGAAATACGGAAACGGGGGATAAATTTTATCTCGGCCGCGCAGCTCGACTGTTAATAATGAATCGTTAATGCTAATTTTTGATTTATGCGTTCATAATCTTCCCCCCCGACGCGTCTCTCTGCGGCTAGATCGCACTGGGCCGCGCACGTTTTTGAATGCAACCGATATCGGTGACTGAATTAAACGACCGGCCGGAAACGTGGGATAAATTTTGTTGCAGGATGCACCGGTTATTAATAATGACTATTTCCTAGCAGCTCGTTAATAGAACCGCAGCAACGATTGCAATTTACGCGTCCCATCCCGCACTCGGTTGCATGAAATTTTCGAATCGCTGTTTCCACCCCTCGTAATTTCAAATCGACTCTTTTGTAGCGTTCAAGCTGTAAATTTCTCAGAATCGCAGTGGCGTGGTAAAACGTAGTTGGAGCTAATGGAAAAGTTCTCGGTAAATTCGCGAAAGTCTCGCTAGACACTTTGAATTTCTACTCTTGAAGACGAACGTGGACGACCGTTGAAACAGCGTGATGGCGGTGCGTGTGAGCGTTCAAGCGCACGTAGTTTAGAAGCTATCGACATTCTTCGACACGAAAACGTGGTTCGCCGTTTAACCAGCCGCGTGAAAGATCCCAGTCGTAGACCAACTTCGCAAGGCTAATTATGTATGACTGCCGAGAAATCGCGGGATTCCAGGCGTCACTTAACTCTCGATACGTCGACCCTTCCGCGCACGAGAATCGAGTTTCCGCATCGACGACAGCGTTACCGCGTCTGCATTATCCCCGATTATATATTTTTACCGTCTGATTCATTACGGGCCGGACCGTTCGCTCTGTGGTCTCTGCTCGATGTCCACTGTTATTTTCAGTTTCATAAAATTACAGCTCGCCTTCAAATGTAACTATTTTCGCTCGTTCAATCCAGCCGACGATAACGTTTGCAACGTGTTCTTAATTTTCGTTAATACCGTCGACCGAGCCAACAGGGATTAGCGTGCGGAAACAGCGACAAACTTGTTTCGCGACCTCATTCTAATTTGTTCTCTACTCCTTCGCCACGCGTTTCGCAGATTTTTCGTTAAGATATCTGACGTCAATCGTGTGTACTTTGTTTATCTTGATGAGGATAGAGACTTTTCAACGGACAATAACGTTCGAAACATCTGGAGAAAATAGATCGGTCTCTACATTTCAACGAAAGACACGAGGTTACATGAATCCTCTTCTTTTTTCTTTCGTTCGTTCGTCAAACGAGAAAACTTTATCACTCCGCTTTGGTTACTCGAAGTGGGTCGCGCCTGTCGCCGACAAATTTAAGAGACGTTTAAATTTTCCTTCGTTCCGAAATAAATACGGCCGAGAAAGAAACGGCCTCAGTTTCGCCCCACTCGGCGGGATTTCAGTGTCGGCGAGCAACCAGGGTGCGAGCGAATAAATTACTACGCGGTCGTGTTTGTCAAATTCGTTGAGGTTCCGTCGAAAAGCTACTTGACCGCTCATTCACGGGAGATCTCGTTACTGTCCTAGCGGGTGTATTGGGGGTTGGTCGAGAGGTATAAGGGACTCGAAGCAGGGTGGCCAGAGAAGAAGAGTGAGTCGGGACGGAATTTTCTCTGTTTGGTTTTTCGTGGATCGCATATCAACCCCCTCGGCACCCCTTTGCCCGTCTCGCAGGAACGGTGCTCTAGGCTAACCCTCTCCTCCTTCGCCACCCTCGGTCCACACTGGTGCAATGGTACACGACATGGCTCCCTTTTCCGCCGAGTGTAACGTAATGTAAGGGTTGCGCCCGCGTCGACGGTGTTTTGGGGTGAGAGAGTTTAAAACCCCTCGGGGCTTGAGGTCCAGGCCGGTTAGATTTATCGGATGTTTTGGTTGGCGGCCATTGTTAGCCGCCCTCTCTCCACTCTCTTTTCCTCTTTCAACCTTCTCTGCGGCCAGTGGCGTAGTCGATTCAATAGCAAGTCGTTTTTTCGTCTTTTTCCTGAGGCACTCGAAGGCCCATCGAGCGCGACCGGATATCGAGATTTTGCCTCGGTAATAACGCTAAGAACGTACCGCTGTTTCGTGTTTGTCTTGCAGTGGAAACGCAACATATATTCCCTGTTTTTTCCGACTCTATTTGGTGGTTCTCGAGTCATTTTCGTAGCGTACGGAATACTTTAACGAAGTTGAAATTTATCGTCTATACGTATATCCAGTTCGTTGATAGATATCGAAGTTACGCTATTGTACCGCGCTTCGCGCGCAAACAGTCGTTCCAGTAGGATTTCTCGGTAACGCCAATCTCCAGCAACCCCTCCGCTATTCCGCAGCACGGTGGTTTGAACGATGTTCGAGCTCACGGTTCGCGACCCTTCGCTCCAACCCTCGTAACCGCACTTCTCTTTGCCCATTCTAACCGGTACATCGCGATTCGCCCGAGAAAACCGTGGAACACTGTCTCGCTCGGTGATCGATGCGGTCTTATAATTAGCTCGCCTTAAAAG